CTATGAGATAATTAATTATTTTATGTAAATATATTTTATTTATGCCGGAATATTTTTATCCTTTGGTCACCAAAAGCTATTGAAATATTCATATTGTTCCAACTATTATCGAACGCTTTTATCGGGTGTGCGTTTTAAAGGATCTTTGCTTTTAACGCTTATTTCTACGTATCCTTGACAATTATAGTTTATGGCGATTTCCAGAGTCTCAAATAACGAGTTTACCTCGCAATACCTCCTTCCTACTAGCTTCATGCCGATAGTAATGCCACATCCCAACTCTTTACCGACGTATATAACACCACGTAAGTCTCCCACTTGCCTTTTTAGTTTTGACATTTGTGCTCATAGAACAGGCTCCTAGCTTCAAGTGTGTTAAATTTCCGTCTATGGAATATCTTGATTTTAAATAGCATAGGAGTTAATTTATTTACATTAATGTTATATATTTATCTCCTGATGAAGTACACACAGGACGAATGGAAATTGCTATCTTTAATTTGGAGCACTGGCTCGGTTAAAATTCATCCATTTTATCTATAGTGTTTTTCTTATCATTGTACAAGGCTGTCTACCATCTTAAGATATCGTCCCTGCGAGGTATCCCTAATTTTATTGTTTAAGCAGGATATTTGATATCTGGCTTATGAATTTAGTTATTTCACTACCGAAAAACTGAAAAATCGAAATAAATGACGTTTATATAGTATATGTAAAGACCAAGATGGTGTGGCCTTTTTTTTGGTCACAGTCTCCTTTAGCTTTATAGTGTTGGTTCGGTCTTGTTTTCGCAACTTGGTCGAGGCGTGAGAGAGACATTGTGTAACGTACCTAGTCACATGTCCTCCGCCATAGTATTCGTGATTTCCAGCATTGGACTATTGGCTGGGTACATTCCCAAATGTTTCGTCAGCATCGTCAGTGAGATGCGCTACCGTGAACACAGAGTTACAAATTATCGAAGTGGCAAATGGAGGCAACCCAATACTAAATGACGTTTACCATTTACACTATCAGTGGAATTCAGTATAGACTAATTTTCCAATCTACTTAGTTTGTTACCATGGTTTTATCATAATATGCAAAATTGTGTTTTACTAGCCATGAATGGGTCTATTTTCCCTATATTAAAAAAATCCCTTGCATATATATATTAGTACACCTATGATATCTTAGCTCGTCACCAAGGCACCTTTAATTCTGACGTTCGATTGCTGCAGCGCTCGGCGCGGCCGCCATCTTGCTTCATTTATTATTTCCC